GTTCATTTATTCATCAAATAAATCGACTAAACCGGAAATAGCATATGTATACCATATTGGTGTGAAATTAAAACAATGATCATAACCGTGATTTGTTAATCGTAGTATACCTCTGTAATCAAAACAAAGGATAACAGTGAGACATACGTAAAAACAAGCTCTCCCAATGGACCCTGACGTATTACTTCGTATATTATCCTCTTCGTATAAAGCCTAACCTTGGCTAAGTATATTGTAACCCCAAATTAATCCATATCAAAAGACTCAAGCCGCAAAAATTAGTACACTCGAAAAAAGACTCAACAGAGCAAAATTCTTTGGCCTCTCGATGCCCCCAAAAACGTAGTCTGTACAATCTCTCAAGGACCACGAGCGCCTTGGATTCTCATTCTCTCGGGTTTGATCCTCCGGCTTAAACCGCTCTTCTTCTTCATGAATCTCTCTGCCTCTTGTTCGGCATGGAGAGCAAACTGAAGCCTCTTTAAATTCTCTGCACACTGTCTATGCATTTCCGGTGAGAACATTCCGGGACCTTCTTGGTTGATTGGTCCAAGATGCCTCTTGTGCGAAGAATGCCATTTGGATTGTAGGTAGTTCAGCGATCTCCATGGAGGCAACGGCATTGAATTCTGCTTTAAGGAGAATTTCGCTGCATCGACCATTACTTGGAGGAACTTGTTTAGTCTAGTCACAGTGCCTACATAGACCACCAGGAGCGATTCCATTATCCGCTGGTAAGAATCCACGGCTCGAGCGATTTCAAAGTGACTTCTAAAATCAATGTCGACAATCAAACGGTCGTCTTGGCCAGCATCAATGTCACTCAATATGATATCTATGTATTCATTGTCTCCTGCAATTTCATGAAAACAAAAAGCATATCAGTCTTTACGAATTTTAAAACGCAAAAAACATGTATAAGGCGGAATTTGGAAGCGAAACCCTACCACCAGGAACTTTGCCACCGCCTTGCCATCTTGCTGAACAAACAGCAGCATCATATCCGGAAAGTCTTAAAAGCTTTGCAAGATAAAATCTGATGCAACTGGCGTTACATGTACCAGATTTCACAGTGTGAAGATCTTTCTCCTTAATAGTAAGCATCAGGGCACGAACCGCTGAGAGAACCTCGGTTTCGTGCGGAGGCATAGAGTACTTGAGAAACTGCAGGTACAAACAGATTGTCTAGTTTAATACAGTGTCCTCAACCTTCCCATAGAAACCTAAATACTTGGTTACAAAATGTGAAATGGACTAAGCTTCCTACAACACACACAAAACAAATATAGCAAATCCAAACAGAAAAGCTATCATTCTACCAAATATCTGAAATACTTTAACGCGGTTCTCGAGTGGCAAACAAGAACATTATATGCAGCAGAAGACATGGCATAAAGGCACATACTGGCCACGACTGTTTATGTAAGTGTTCTCCAACTTTTTCCGGAATGTGATATGAAGTATGCTTCTTAATAAGAGATAGCAACTGTATCCAGAAAATCCACCATTCTAAACTTTTATTCTAAGTAGCAAATAAGAACATAGCACGAGAGTAAATTGTACTCTAATGTTCAATGTTCAATGATCAAGAACCAAAACCAAACACAATCACACAAATTAGCCATCAATAACTCTCTAAAGCAACATACTAGACCCTTGTTCACTATACTCAGTCTACTATTGTCCATCGCTAGCCTTGCTCTACAATATACATTATGCTTCCTAACAAAAAAATAGCAACTATATACAGAAAGTCCACCACTCTAACAAATCCATGACAATCTCTGAAAATACTTTAATTCCAAAGTAGCAAACACGAGCATAGCACTAAAGCAAATGTACTTGGATTCTATCTTCAATGATCAAAAACCAAAAACCAAAACTCCAATCACACAAATTAACCATCTCCAAACTCTCTAAAGGCAAACATACTAGACCCTTGTTCTCTATTACTCTACAATATCCCGATCAATTCACTAGTCACAAACATCATAGAAGAATCTCATCAAGTAATTATCCCCAATTCAAACACGAACACCGTAGAAATTTCATCGACCAAATAGTACCTGAATCTTATCGGAAAGGAAAGAAGGATCCGGAATTCCAGAATCGCTATCGCTGCTGCAATAAGAATCAGCACCACCGCTTCCACCGCCGGTCTCGATAAAATCAGTAACCATGAGACCTAGGTCACGTTCACCGTCGTAACTAGAATCTCTCCCTCTTTCCGACCATTCCTCCGCCGTAACAACCCTCAAATCCATCCCCATCGTAT